TTACCTCAGCGATCTTTGCATCTATCAGAGCCAAAGTGAAGACCTCTGACTGCTTGAGCATTGACAGTTTTTTGGCTGTCAGGACATGGAATGGGTATCCTCTAATTGCAACACCTTTCACCCCAGCAAGGAAAGGGAAAGGACTTACAGTGGCAACACTCCCATTCAGGACGTTACACATGAAACAAGCATTTGTGCCATAAGCGAACAAAAGCCCTGTCCTGTACGGTAAAGGCACACACACCTGCCATTCAGCTGTTTTACACTGAGGAACTCGTGAGGCACATGAGGCTGCTGACAAGAGAAGCAAGAACAACATGGCTGCGCTTTCCTTCGCACTGCCACATACATACATTCCGTCTGCCCGTATTATAGCTTTCAGCCGAGAAACTATTGTTCACGTACCTGCAGTTTATGTACTTAATCAACGGATCTGTGAGCATCAAGGACAAACTGTCAGCCAGCTGAGTACTCCCCTGGAACACACAAGCTTTGTAAAAGTAAGTAACAGTCTTTGCCAGCCCCACTTGCAGCGGTGGCGTCTGTAGGAACACTGCGCTTATTTACCAGACGAATGACTCCTTAGTGTTTAGATTATGCATTACCACACGAAAAAGAAAAGGCGTTACAGTGTAAGATTAAGTACCTGATTACATGCCAAAGTTCCCTTCCAAATATTACTACAACATACCAGAGCCGTCAGTTCAATGGAGGCCGGCTCATAGTGTTATTTCAATCAGCGATATCATCCGAAAGCAGGTTGGCTACAAAAAACCACTCATACAAAGAGTAGTTCTGTATTAAAATACGTATTTTTACCTTCGCCAAGAAGGTTATGTTTTCAGGGGAGTTCGTGTGTGTGTGTATGAGCACGATAACTCAAGAAGGCTACGGTGGATTGTCTTGATATTTGGTATATAGGTGGGTAGGTCTTTGAGACCTGGAACTGATTAGATTTTGGACTCCCTGGCAGCTTGTTATGGTACTGCAGCTGAACTTCCGGTTTTGATATCTCGTGATCTGGACATGGTAGGGTCACTAAATTTGGATGGTAGGTAGCTCTTTGACTGGGAAAAAAATGACATGGGTTTGGACCCCCTAGCGGCTTGTTCTGGAACTACAGAAGCATTCGTTGAAAAATATTCGAAGGAGGATAACTCAAGAACCGATTGACGGATCATCATGATTTTTGGTATGTGTGTACCTCTTAAAGAATGATTAACATATTAAAATTATAGTTATGCAAATCCACAGCATAATTAATGAGGAAAATGATTAAAAATCTTCTACCTTCCATTATATGATTATTCAAACGTGTGGCATGTGTAACTGTGAAGTAGAAGAACATTGGCAGATAGTGTTTATGCAAATGAATGTCTAATTTGCATAATTAATGCGAATCGTCAACATTCGTCAAGGCCAAAGGGTAACATCATTTGGCGAAGGTATGAGATCGCGGAACTCTAGTTGTGATTGTAGATGTTTTCTAGATGCTTTCTTTTTCTTATTATTCGAGGCAAAGAATTTCTATATTTGGAAGGCAGACCCTTGTGGATCCCTGGTGTAGAAGAATTTTTGAGATCGAAATGTGGAAAAGTACATTCACGAGGACTTGTTTTAATGTATCTAATCGTAGGTTTCCATGGTCAAACGTAGTAATACCGTCTGCCTACCACCCCAGTCTTGACTGTTCACAGCCGGGTCCACAGAACGTCCGCCATGATGAAAATGACCTTGACTGTGATGAGCTGTTATACCTGTTTCTGTATAGCCGATATAACCGCCCTTCGGCGTAACACAACAGCTTCGCAGGCACGCGGCGCGGCGGCAGCTGGCTACATTACAGCAAATTCATACGACTCTGTTAAACCTCACCCTTCAATACCCAGGATAGCGTGACCCCAACGTGGTTCCGCGGCACCCTGCGGCTACCGGGCTATTTTTGGCCCGTCCGGGACCCGAGAAGAATTTAACTCTGGCTTAAATTCTACCTGGGCCCCGTTGACATAAAGTCGTCGTGACCTAACCGTGAGAACACCGAGAGGTACCCCTCCGGTTCCCGACAGACCACCGGGACAAATTTGCTACGTCTTAAGCATCTTCTGCTTGGATGTCTGTGCGGCCACCTCCTTGGTACGACACATACAGTCCTCTCAGAGAAAGGACTAAGTGAATGCAACACGAGGCAGGGGCACAGCCCGCCGTACGTGCAACCGCGTGCTGTCTACGTGCAAAAATGTGGGCAAATTTGTGGGATTCGCAAGTGGTGAGTACCGCCTCCGCACGGAATCCAACAGATATTGGAGCACGTAGACACGCCGTGAGAACTTTCACACTTCTGCGTATCGCTATGCTTATGAGTTACGTACGGGCAATTCTTCTATACGCAGCCGTACGCATAATACGCACATCATATGCATCTCAGTCGTTTTGAGAAAGTTTCATGTACACCGGCATACGCACAGGACACGCACAGCGAAACTCAGTACGCAGCGTTGTTTTGAGCATGCCCAAAACTTCGCTGCGTACGCTGTTACTCATGTTATACGTTATAAGCACGCAATGCATCGGTCGAGCACGGTACGAGTACGCTAAGTGTTCGTGGTGGATGCGCGGTTTATACGCTGATCTGCACCTGGATCTGCACCGGTGCATGAGCCGCGTACATTCGATGAATACATTGCGTACTTGTACCACTTTAATTTGTACCGTTCGTATTACGACTGGATAGCACATTGTGCGTATGTGTAACTAATGAGAAGCGCAAAGGTAGCGTACATATAAACTCAATATTCGGAGAACCTCTAAAGATGGTGGGCTTATGACAATAGCCGCTTTAAACTGTGGTTGTAAATACACAAAATGAAAGTCATAATTCAAAAGATTGTCGTGTCCGCAGAGATGTATAGTGTCCATGCTATCTGACTGTGTGTGTATGCGCAATTGCAAAATTGTTTGTATTGGAAGGATGGGCGTTTTCACTGTTCAAATCCAGGGGGGGGGGAATATTTTTGACGAGATGACGAGAAGGACCCACTGCAAATGAAAACAGTAGGAAGCAGCATGGAATACGCCCACAATACGCTTGGCATTCGTTGAAAGTGCGTTAGGCATGCGGTGGCCATTCGTTGACTGTGCCCTGAATACGCTTGACCTGCGCAATGCATACGGACGCCATATACGAATGTCATATGCAATTTATCAGCTGAATTCGTTATTTATACGCTACATGTGTGTTACAGCAACGTTACGTATTGTACGCAATGATTATACGCAGAAGTGTGACAGGGCCCTTATCACTTCCACAACGAACGATGCACCCAACCGCTCACGGCTAGGCGTGGCGTGCAGACCACATACTTACACCTTGCGCAACCTTGTGAGTGACGTGCGTTAACTTACTGCTCATGCCAGTCTCCATCACCTTTTCATAAAAACGTAGCTGGTGTGCCCCCCCCCCCAAAAAAAAGGCCTGGCTTAAGGGATCCGAGCAGCGTTTGTTGAAATCTCGAAATATGAGGAATATGAGGAGTGCCCACCAGGACCCTTCCTAATGCCTAACCGTTGTTCGAGGGGCATGTGGCAGGGACCCTACCGGGATGTGAGAAGCACGTGTTACCCTGTCAGAATCCCCCGCGTCAGAGCATCGATCTGAGACCGACCAATGACCCCTGGACCCGCCCGGGACCCCTGTAGGGTAACATTTAATTGTTACCACGGCAGCCGGTGTCAGCAGGTGCCAAGGACGGTGTATTGTAGGTGCCAAGGACGGTGTATTGTAGGTGCCAAGGACGGTGTATTGTAGGTGCCAAGGACGGTGTATTGTAGGTGCCAAGGACGGTGTATTGTAGGTGCCAAGGACGGTGTATTGTGCACCAAACCGGCTTAACCAGCCGTATGTTTCAGGTTCCCGGATGTAGAGTATATTACAACCGTTGAACTCTTTCTAAACTCCTGGTCAGGAAAGCTAGCTAAAGATTGCGGATAACACCTGGACTTCGCCAAATGTACGTACAACATTACCATTCTATTCGAACATTTTGTCGACGTGTGTAAGGCCAGGACATGGTTGCATGCCGTGCGATCTCCGGGGTACCGCAGACTGTGGGCTTTCTTGAAATAGTCTTGTGTTCAATAAATTTCACTTGTACCTGTCTTTTTTTTAATAGTCACACGTGTCCTCCAAAATCCAGCTGCATGTGTCTTGTTGTGGAAAAAAATGTATGGGGTCTTTGTGGGTGGGTGGTTGATTATATCATAACCTACTTGAAAACTCCACGGCATCAAAGCTGTACGGCAATCTACGAATAATGTGTGTCTACGAATATCATGTTTTAGTGACTGAACTTCATCCATTGATAGTGAATGAAATCTAGTCACCAAAACATAAAATCCAAGCAATGTTCTTGACTTTTGATTTAAAAAAAGGGGGAATAGTCGCATTACGCAACTCTGGAATTATACATGGCTGAATGTCTGTACTAGTCGGGCAAGTTCTGCTTCAGTGAGTCCGTGTCTTTTAAGCTACACCTCTGTCAGTGGTTGATTCTGTCACAACATGCTAAACATCTGTAGGTATGGCACGGTCATACAATCTACGATAAATGTGACGGTGCTGTTAGTCCTTATTGAATGAATGTAGGGGACCATATCGGTGTGACTGGTCCAAACCATACATTCCTATGGCCGAACCTAGGGTCATATCTAGGTCAACTGAGTTAGCGCCGAATGGCAGCCACTCCAGAACCTTGCGATTAAGCCAAAATAATTCTAAGCTTCTTATCTGCAAGAAGAGACTAGCCGGCCCACCAAGTAACAGTAACAAATAACGTTTTAGTTACTGAGAATTTAGGTAACCAAAATGTGATAAATGGTGAGAAAATGTTTATAGAAGAATGTTTACTTCACGCTAATCTTAATTGTATATTTTCTATTCATCGGACACGTATTTGTAGATTTGTAATTAGATTATGTTTTATTCTCTGCTTAAAGCAAGGAGGATGGATGGACAGGCAAGTAACGTCACCGCTGACGTGATTGAAGACGAGTACGTCATTAACCGTAATGACGTTTCCGATGAGCTGATGTCAGTGATGAAGAGCCTGACGTCATCGCGCAGATACGTGCCGCAGTGGTACGTGTACGACACACGCGGGTCCGAGATGTGTGAGGAGTAAGTATGGTTCACGTACACGCACGGACGCACACACGCACGCACACACACACACACACACACCACGCACGCACGCACACACACCGTGACGAACAAACACACCCGTAACGTACACGCACACAATCACACACAAACCGATACTGGTTCGGTTTTGCAATCTATATTTGTAGAAGGTACTGTCTAGTAATCTCTAGCTAGTCAGCTACTTGGTGACCGCAAGACAGTATCGAGTTTGCCAGGCAGAATCCAATTGCTTCGATTCGAACCCTGATTATAAGAGGAACTTTATTGCACAACAACTGTACATTACAACTGTGTCATCACCCATCTGTTTCTTTTCTGCTAACATTGGTAATGTTATATCTGAAATTGCTAGCAGTCATTGTGATCACCATGCATCTTCCTGGATGTTTGTAATCGCAAATTTCTATTTTTGTTTGTTTCATCGATCGTTTTATTTCTTCAGACTGATACAGAACTCAAAGACCTACAACATCTGGCGGCACGAGTTCAACATACTTCAGGCTCACGCAGACGAAATCATCGCCAAAGTCTCGTCCTCAGCCGTTCTCGTTGATCTCGGCAGCGGAGGGTCCTCCAAAACGCGCCTGGTTATCGAGGCTATGCTGAAGCGACGCGGAAGACTCACGTTTGTGCCTGTAGACATGGCGAAGGGTAAGAGAACTACTAGTTATTAAAGCCCCACGTTACACATTCAGAACCTTCTCCCGAACACCGATCAAATTCGATTCAATTCTGATAGAATGGTAAGAAGTGGAAGCTTGCTGCCCGATGTGCCATCAGGCACAGGAGGAACTAAGGTCTAAGGTCAAGGAAGGCGTCAGACTACTCCCAAACTTCAGTCAAAAATGGTTAGCCAGTGTTTGACGGCAATGTCTGGGTAAGTTCCTGGGTGTGTGACCGGCACCCTTTACGCAGTGCCACGCTATATATACTGGAAAACATTACAGTCTTACAACTGATTTGATTTATTACTACTATTATGATTTGTCAAATGTAGGGGGAAGATTCCGGACAAAGCATGAAGGCCTTTTATGACCCCACCCACATGTCAACGTGCCCATGCTCACTTTAGTACAGGCTCATTCTAATTACAACTATATGCAAATAAAAACAAAAATAAACAAATAGGTACAGCAATAACTGCATTTCCCCACCCATTTACACTCAGTTTGTATGTTTTACATGCACACGTACAGAGTTTATCGAGTCCTGCGGCCGGCAGCTGGAGAGGGACTACCCCGGCCTGACCGTGGAGCCGTTCGGCGGGTTGTACATGGACGGTGTGCGGCACGCTGCCGCCCGGGAGGAGGCAAAGTTGTTCCTGTTCCTCGGCAGCAGTTTCAGTAACATTCCGCTCAGTGAGCAGGGGAAGATGCTACAAGAGATCCGGGCAAACCTGAAAGGTAGGCAGCCTGCTTTCTTTAAGTTGTTCTGAAGACATCTTCCACATCATTTGCTTCATATCAATGTATTAAGCTATCGCAAACAGTGTTACATGAGCCTCAACCTCTAGTTTTTAAATCGTTAATATCGATTTGTGTGTTCATTGTTGATGTTTTGATATATTTATGTCTTTTAAGTGCATTCACGGTATTTTCCATGTATGGTTATGTAATTCTAATGTTTGAGCCTTGGAAGATTAGCCCTGCAGAGCTAAAAGGCTTCAAAATAAATGAAATAAAATGAAATAAGTAAATTGTTTTCTTGCTGTATTTATTGAGAATGTATGTATGTAAGTGTTCATTAATGTACCAAATGAAACATGAAAAGCAGGCCTCAGCACTGGGTGTGATCTGTTGGTAAAACAAATGTGAAAAAAACAACAACTAAGAACTGAGACCTTCTTCCTTTACCGTAGCTGCTGACAAGTTTGTGCTGGGGCTGGACATGAACACAGACCGGGAGACCTTGTTACAGGCGTACGGGAAACAGTGGGCACCGATATGGCGAGATAACCTCATCGACCGTTTCAATAAGGTAATTCTTGCATTCTGAAATGTGGTCCATTGTTGTATTCACGTTTTAGAATATGGCTGACGGTATATTCAGTGGTTTTAGTTATTTATGTGTGGTGCCCAAAACATAAAGGGACCCCTCGCGTATACGGAACTTGTTTTCTAGCTAACCCTTGTCCTGCGGAACCCATATATATATTACTATTAATTTTTATTTATTAATATTTATATATTATCATCAATACTTTTTGTATTGGCCAAGATATTAAAACAGCAAATTGACAATTCAACCGATGACATGTAAGAAAGGATCATTATGTTTAAAAGAAATTAGTTATTTGTGAACCGATTTGAATGAAAAAACAAGAAGCCATAGGCGACAATTCTCCGTGAAGTATTATATATTGCAACAAAAAGAAGTAGCCATTGGCGACAATTCTCTGTGAAGTGTGATAAATCGAACAAAGAAAAATTGTTTAAACGCGCGTCGGCTCAGTCATCTTAAAGTCACTCTATGTAGTTTTTTGACAATACAAAAAGTATATTTCTTATTCTTTTCTTTACATAGTACATTGGCTTAACCCATTAGTATTCCAAAATTACTAGTATACTCCACAGCAAAAAATACAACATCCTTGCTCCTTAGAAGCTTAGAAAACTGTGAATGATCTTCTATTCAACCTCTGGCCAAACCACACATATGGTATTGTCCACTCCCAGTGGTTTGACCTACATCCCAGTGGGGTGTCAGTTGATAGCTTACCAGTTTCTGAAATACCTAATCGTTTACCAGATTTTTTATCTCTTTTGAGGAGATAATGACCACAGTTTATTCATGCCCAACAAAATACTCTAAGTTGATAATTATATTCCACCTCATGTGAAAGATATGAGTTTTTTCTATTAAAGGAGGGTATATCTTGTGACATCTGCCCCTGTCTATCAAGCCTGGCATGCCCGGGCCAATTAGCCACCCTAGGGGGCAACCCCTGTCTGTTGTTGTTGTTGTCCTCAGAGCAAACCGGTGGCACCGGGAACTGAAGAAGGACTGTTTGAACGGACAAAATATACGAAAAAAATGTGAAATAATGACACAAATGTGTTGAAAAGTGATAGTAACTGCTAATAACACCGAAATTTAGTATAATTAGAATATTTCAATTTTTTGCGCAAAAAACTACATAGAGTGCCTTTAAGACGCAACAACCAATCAGAGATGCGAGATGCCTACACGTGACGCGGGAAGGGCGCGCGATGCCCGAAATATTTTTGCGTCAATATTCAGCGCCGTGATTCAAGAGATTAATACCCGGAAACAATTTTTTTCTTGTTTTGAACGCATTAACATGCATTTACGCTAATCTAGTATGATTCAGGGTTACTTTTTTTTAACCTGCCATGGCCAGATTATCTAAAGATGTGTGTATTGTGTGTACAATCTATAGAAAGAGAAATGTACATCAGGTCCGATCATCCGATTTTCACGTTTCGGTTTTTTGGACTCGGTTCATGAACGTATTTTGGTTTGGCTCCTGGAATGTGCAAAAAAATGACTCCCGGGACTGTCTACAGGGAACACTCGCACATTCGCGGTGTATCAGGACAGCGCGACTGGTCGTCATTAGCGCAGTAACAGTTGCATAAACGGACGAAACCATTTCAAAGAAATGGGGATGTTTCGAAAATAAGCATTTACTCCAATATCAAAACAGCTACGGTAAAAATAAAAAGACGTGCATCATCCCGGACATAATGCAACACCACATGCGAAATTACACAGAAATGCGACGTACGGAAGAATGCGTTTTGGCTGCGAACATCTTCCAAAAAACTTGGCATCTCTTAACCATGGGCAAAAACATCTGGAACCACTTATAAAAACCACCCCGTATCTGCATGAACTTTTTTGAACCCCACTGCTATTCCAAACAACGCGTTTTTCTGGACCATTCCAATTCGCCTCGTAATTGTAGGGGTGCGTCTGCGATATTACATTGACCGCGAAAGCAGCAACGGCAAAAATACACATTCGTGCATCAACACGGGCATGCACGCAGACGGCGTATAAAATTGCGTGCCGATTACACAAAGAGAACCCAGTGTTTTGACTGCGAACATGAAAAATCAGCCGATTACAACACTCCGTCCGGAGGTCCTGACCTCCTTCACGGAGTAATTAGGATTGAATTACGGTTGGTCAAGATATGTCTTTTGGTTTCCGGGATCTTCAACACAGTATTTCAAATACTTTTAAAAGTATGAAATAATGGTAAATGTCAATATCAGACACTGCTGGTTGTTAAACATCTTGAGCAGTAATATTTGTTCTAACAGTAAGAGGCTCCATGACCTATATATGACAAGTTAATTATAAGAAATGATATAGATTGTCTAGATAGGGTAGCACTAGTATACATATTGTTTTACATTATTTTTTTTTCAATAACGTAAAAGGAAACGATTTGTTACACAAGGAAATTGTTACTCAAGCAGCCGGATAGATTGAACTTGAACTTGGTTTTGAAGATGGCAAACGTTTCTAGAAGCATCCACTACTTCGAGCAGATAGTTTATGCTACTTGAAACGTCTGACAGTGTTCAAAATACATTAAGTCGTTTGAGTAATAATTTCCTTGTGTATCTCATAACCTTCAACGACTTTTCTTTTTTTGGATACCAGTGTTTACGAGCAGAATCTCATTCATTGTTGTTATGTTTGTGAGACACTAAACACTTTTCTCCCGGAATTGTTCACTTATTTCAGGACTTTGACGGAGACATGGACGCGGAGAAGTTTGAGTTTAATGTCGACTTTGTGGAGAACCCTGCTGACGGAGACACGCCGAGCTACGTGGTCACGTATCTCAGCAGTTCCGGCAAACAGCGGGTGCACTTTGGTGAGAATTTGTTCAAAGATTACCTTGTGAATAAGAACAACATGGCCTGGGTAGCAGACTGTTTCCAGAGCCTACACAGGCAAATTTCTCGACTCATGCCCCCAAGCAAATTACCTCCCCCCTCCCAACACTAGCCGCACATCTTGACTTCTGCTACGCTGTTTAACACACACACACACACACACACACACACACACACACACACACACACACACACGCACACACACATACACACGCACACACATGCGCACACACACACATACACACACACACACACACACACACACGCACACACACACACAAATATGTGATGTTTCTTATTTTCGTTAACATAATTTTTGTCTGGTCCAGACACGCTCGGCCTTGACATCGACTTTGAAGACGGCGAGAATATTTACTTCTACGAGGGGCCGAACACCAGCTGCAAGTGGAACCTGGGACAAGTGCGCTGCCTGGTGGAGAAGAGCGGCTTTGCAGTAGATGCCTACTGGACCAATGATGAGGACAATTATTGTGTCTTCTGCCTGGAGCCAACAGATCTTCCTCCTGTATAACTATTTTTAGTTTCTTGATGCACTCTAGTCAGTCTTACATGCAGGGGAGAATTTTACCACAAACCACTTACTGGTGGTCATACCAAGTACTAAGTACCTAATACCAGCTCAGAAAAAGAAGAAATATATAGGTTCTGGTACTACCTCAGGTGCATGAGTAGTCAACCAAGGATTGGGGTGTTCAAAACCCATAGGGACATTATCTCTAGAAAGGTTTAAACAATGTTATATAGAGTGAGGTATCAAAATGTTAGGTGTAACTAGCCGTACGGTATAAGGTAGCTAACTGCCGCCGCGCCGCGTGCATGAGGAGCTGGTGTGTTAAGCTGAAGGGTGGTTATACCGGCTATACAGATACAGATACAGAAACCACGGTGAGGTATGTTGGGTAGTATTATATGTCTGCGTTGAGATTTTTTTACAACAAAATATGTTAATTAAATGTTACATTCACATCGGAAAGATCCGGAATGAACCATATATTGTATATATGCCCGACCCGGAAAGTGTATGGGGAAAAATTTTCTCGGGACAAATGTGTGCGGCTCAAATGTTATATAAAATTAAACATAAAATTAAGATAAAAAAAATTGCATCGGCCGGGAATCGAACCCGGGCCTCCCGCGTGGCAGGCACTGAACCACCGATGCCGTTGTGTCGAAGATAAAGCGGCAAGAAATTTTTACAACGATAGGATAATGTGTTTTATGCATTTCCTCCTTATTATCCAAAGAAAGATGGTGAATGCCGCCTGACAGTATGCTTATATTGTAAGTTGTGTGCTCAAATAGGCCTTATATTAGGCCACAGCAACTAAATTTTATGGATGGCATCTCCGCAGAATCCAAAACTAATGCGGTTGGGCGAAAAAACGAGGCCGGTAAAAAAAAAAAACAAGATAAGGTCACACCAATTTAATTTCTTGGTTAACGGATTCGCCCGCTTCATTTTTTTCTGATTTGCAAATAAAAATGAAAATTCAGAATCAACTGCAAAATGCTTATATTTTGCCTTGAACAGTTGAAAACAGTACTTTTCATCCTAGCTGTTACAGTTATTCTATCTTTCAATGCAATAGTATCATTAAAAGTTCAAAATTCATTGTTTAAATTTTGAACCAAGTGTTGACTTCATGGCTCCTATCGTACCATTTTGGGCCATAATAGGATGCCCAGGCCTGTTTTTATCTATTTATTTTTCGCCCGCCCGCTCCATTATTTTTGTAGAAAAATCCGTTAACCAAGAAATTAAATTGGTGTGGCCTAAAGGTAGTATTAATATTCATCCAACGAAAGACGTCATGCGGCACCTATCACTCCATATAAGGGCAATGGTGTCACTCCTCCCCAGACAAATCATTGCAGGTTCCATATTCATTCGTCTTTCGCTGTTATGTATCAGGCCTTCCATCTACTGTCTGGCAGTTCTGTACAAAATGTACGAGCAGGCGGTGCATGTCCGGGCCCGGATCGCGGGACAAACCAGCGGACCGCTGTCCCAACACGCTCCCTTCTGTCAGAGGGGTACAGACGGGGATATCCGCCTTGGTAACACCGACGCTACACCGTATAACTGGCAAGAAGGGATAGAGACGTCTTCAGACACGTATGAAAAACCTGAAGTGGTTAAACAACAGGAACTCCCGCCGCAAGGGGATCATGCACAGCGAACTGGAGTGAAATTTGCGGAGAACGCAGAACTCCGTGTTGGTACTTCTATAGACAGGTCGTATAAAACGTATCGGTACGGCCCAAGCCGGAGTCGCTGCAGTTTTATCGGCACTCACCGTAGCTACATGGCCGCCGCCTTTGCTCTGGCGATAACCCTGGTCATTGTGGGGCTCGCCGCTATGGTGTTCACCAATCGAGAGGGGATATCTCAACTGTCTAACACTGTCGATGCCTTGAAACGCAACCTGGCCAGCGAAGAAAACCGCAGTACCGTCTTGAAGCAGCGTATATACCAAATGCTGGACAACACGCCAGAAGAAGGTGTCACGCCGCCTGGTACGCCTGTATCTTGTCCTGACGAATATACCGAGTGTCTCGGACTCTGCTACAAGGCGTTCAACGTAAGTAAGAACTTTTGGCAGGCGGAGCTGGCGTGCTACGAGGACGCCGGCGGCACCCTCGCCATGCCCCGAGACAACGACACCAACGCCTTCCTCATCTCCTTATACAAGACCGTCAGCAAGAATAGATTCTTCTGGATTGGCCTGCATGATGAGGACGAAGAGGGGAACTTCAAGTGGCTGCACGGCACTGCTCTTGGCGAGTACAACTCGTGGGCTACAGGACAACCTAACAACTATCTGAACAGGGAAGACTGCGTTCGCTACAGCGCCAGTCAGATTACCCCAGGCCCGCCCGGTATCATACAGCAGCCGGAGAAGTGGTACGACGCTCCGTGTTATAACCGTCTCCTATTCCTGTGCCAAGTAGCCCCAGGCGCGAACTAGCGCACTGAATAGGTTCCCCGGCTATTCTCTACTAACGTCAAAGAACATGTACATTTAATTTTAGTAAAACTTGAACCTAAGTCGATATTCAAAAGTAAAGCTCACACGAAAGTGTTTTTCTTTCCCTCTGCTTTACAAAATAGACATGTGTGAATATCATGGATAGATTTGATTTTGTTTGACCTCGCTTGTATGCCTGTACTATATTGAAGGAACGAAGACACGAATACTTTCATTGGGCATTATTTGTCTCATTGGGCAGGCCACAATAAATGCATGTCGAAACGAGTACGGCACATTCGATTTGTCGTAATGATAATACTAATATTGGAAATATTCTGGATGTCATTCTTGGCAACAACAAATGCTATTGTGTAATTCAAACCTCCTAATTGACAAGAAACCATTATTATGGCAAACTTTTATCGATAAAGGCATTATATTTGTTGAAGATCTGCTGTGCATAGACGGGAAACCTATTTCATACCATGTATTAATTAAAAAATATGGAAAGCTCTGCTCAGAATATACTTACAATGCGCTGCTTTCTGTATTAGGTAGAGAGTGCCCGAGAAAAAGTAGTTATAATTTTAATCACTTGCAAGTGTACAGACGATCATAAAAAAAACTATGAGTGGCGTAATGGAACCAAGGTCAATAAGAAAATGTATGACTTCTTTATGGAAAAAATATTGGAAATGTAGAAGCAGTATACGTAGTTGTCGTTGTGGTTGTGAATAAGTGTTGAAAAAGTTTCTTACAATCACATCTTTCAGATCAGATGTTGATGATTCTGTTGTTGTAAAAGATATGCTAATATCTAGGAACGGCTTTGTTCAGTGCTGCTTATTGTTACCTTCGCCGAGAAGGTTATGTTTTCATGGGCGTTTGTGTGTGTGTGTGAACACGAAACCTCGAGAACGCCTGGATGGATTGTCTTGATATTTGCTAGGTAGGTAGGTCTTGATGAGACCTGGAACTGATTAGATTTTGGGCCCCTAGCAGCTTGTCATGCGTGGCTTGATAAGGATGATGAAAAAAAAAACATATTTGCAAATCTTCTGTGTCTTTCATGTCGCAAATACAAATAATAGCAGCTTTGCTGTTATTTTCTTTTATTTAGAGTTTAAAAAATAGGTAAAATTCATTATGAAGCAAGTTCAAACTGTAATTTCCAGAACAGGAAATGTTTCAACTGTAATTGAATTAACTTCAATTAATGAGCAATCCACCGCTGCTTCTGTGACGTTACGTTATGTAGATGACATACGTGACTCCGTTGTGAACTCGAGGGGAATCGCATGTGGTAGTAGCTGGCAACTAAAGCTAAAGATAACCTGTCCTGTGCATTATCTATTTTACTATGATCGTGTTTTTTCTAAATGGTTTTCACATTACTTATAATCCTGAAAGTGGTCGATTCCCTTTGCAGATCCACAGTTTATCTGAGTTTTTAGAATGGAAATAGCCCTTAGTTTGACAAATACAAATAGCCAGATACAATTCCTCGTACTTGGAGATTCTGTTTTAACTGTGATATCTAGAATCTATACAATATCACAAACACCCGTGGAACTTTAACAACAAGATAATTATGTTACAACTACACCCCATGTACACAGTCCTTTCCGATAAAAATAAAGAGACTATATCATTCCGTTGCTTCGATAGAGTGTTTTATTGTAGCAAACAGCAATCACAGCAGCTTACTGCCTTTGATGTTTGGTATTGTCGATGGGGTGGTAGTGACGGTGTTGAAGATGGGGTGGTATTGACGGGAGCGGTGATGGTAACGTGGACGAGAGCGGTGATGGTAGCGTGGACGGGAGCGGTGATGGTAGCGTGGACGGGAGCGGTGATGGTAGCGTGGACGGGGGCGGTGATGGTAGCGTGGACGGGAGCGGTGATGGCAGCGTGGACGGGAGCGGTGATGGTACGTAGCGTGGACGGAAGCGGTGATGGTAGCGTGG